AGCTGAAGGTCGCCTGTTTAATTAAATGAGTTTAGTGACTAGTTTTTGCAACTAACTGGTGTAATGTGCTCCATTATTGGATGCAATAAATATTAGTTAAACAATCACTTATTTAATTTAAGTAATATATAAACATATGTAAATAATATATTTATATAAATGCTAGTATTTAATGGATATTCTTCAGAAAGCTGAAGATATTGCAAGCAAATATAATATTATTTCATCCAAGCAAAGTGGGATGTAATTTTAGATGATGAATGAACACTGAGAAAATGTTGATTACAAATGGAACTAGAATCATTCAGTGTCAATTGGGTAAGTTTAAATTCCGGATAGACCTGGGTAAATACTGGTTTAGAAACAGGATTGTTGAATTGTGGAAAACTTTACCGGGTGAACTGTTTCAAGCGCATGTTAAACATATGAATGAGTTTGGAGGAAAGATATAAATAGAAGCTGCTTTTTAATTATGGGTTAATAGGCCTTCTTGAGTTCTATTGTTTTTTTTTCTTAAGTTCCTATATACACAAAAAAGATATATATATATTTCTTGTCGAATTTTAGAATGAAGGGATCAAGGTGGAAGAATTATATAGTTATCCCTTATAATGTTTGCACTTCAGCCCGTTTTCGCGATTTGATAAGTGATTCTAAATCACTTATCAAATGAATTTTTGATAAGTGAATTCTAATCAATTCCTCTTGAGAACAATTGTTTATTTTTTTTATCTACTCTCTTTCTCTCTCTCTCTCTCTCTCTCTCTCTCTCTCTCTCTCTCTCTCTCTCTCTCTCTCTATCTCTCCTCTCTCTCTCTCTCTCTCTCTCTCTCTGTCTGTCTCTCTCTCTCTCTCTCTCTCTCTCTCTCTCTCTCTCTCTCTCTCTCTCTCTCTCTCTCTCTCTCTCTCTCTGCTGTGTTTTAATTTAAATTTTTGACTCTTTCTTATATTTGGAAAAATTATTCGAGCATCTCACCACAGCAATCTTAACGCGTTGTAATTCATCATGATTTTGTCGAGATCGTCATATCCATTTTTTTTCCCCAATAGACACCCACGCTTTCCTTGCTCTCTTTCCCACTACCTCTATCATCACTCTCCCTTCCTATTACCTCCTTTCATCACTCTCCTCCTCTGCCTTCCCATTCTCCCTTCCCTCCAGCCAGTCTCTGGCGCTGTAGTGGGGATTTCATTGAATTCCACAGCTATTAAGAAAAGTGGCAATTTAGAAAAGGAACAATTGCCTATGTGTTGGTTGAACGCTCGAGGCTCGCTGGCAGAACAAAGGTGTGTGTGTAAGTTACAGGTCCACACTCGCTCCCCCGAGCGCCACCACCACCCCTTGTTCTCAAAACAAAACCCGGAGGGAATTCGGCTGTTATGGCAAATTAAAAGCAAACATGCATAACACGGTAGAAAATGCACACCTCTCTCTTCCCCAGGGATTTGGTCGTTTTCCTCTGCTGTCGTAGTTGGATAATTTGGAGAAGTGTGGGGGGGGGGAGGGGGTAGGGGGAGAGGCGTGAAATTATTTGGGACCCCGACGAAATTTGTATTAATTAATTACTTTCTTGGTGTGGGGTTGGGTGGAGTGTGTCAGTTAGAGTTTGGGGCCCAGCTCACGTTTTCTGTTAGTTGCGTAGAGGTTAGTGAGAAGCCGACAACACTGTTGACGTTTTGTTAATGATCTTAGCGTAATTGATGTACTAAGTAGCGTCTTATATTTTTTTTTTTGGCGTAACAAAGTGATGTAATTGGTTTCACATAACTCGCTTGGGCAGTATTGCTGATTAGGTTGTGGTGTTGTTTTTATTCTGTGCCCAACTAGCCTAGCCTTTTGTTCCTTGATGCCAAACTAGCCTAGTCTTCTAGAATTGTATACAGTTGTATGTATGTATGTATACTATAGAATTGTATACAACTAGTGGCTGCGAGTACCACACACCAACAGATCTAAAGGTTCTAATGACTTGCCATTCGGTAATGAAAAGTAGGAAAATGTGAGGCAGTTCTGTGTGTAAACTTGGCATGCTTAGGATTGGGAGATTCCTCATTTGCACCCACCTGCCACAGGTAACTTTGGCCCAACCGTATCGTCGTTCTTACCCTGTCACACTGTTCAGTACATGTCCATATACACATAGGTGTGTGTCATATGTGTGTGTCTATATACACATAGGTGTATATGGACACACACATTATATATATAATGTAGGTGTCAGACCCTAACAAATTATGGGAGTTTTATGGTTATTCTAAGCATTTGGGAGTATATCATTTCTCTCCTTTCAGATGTGAATGTTTGGAACAATATAATTTCTACAACTGCGTTGTGTGGAGGAGGCTTCTAGGTCTTGTTCAATTTCATATTTTTAATATGCAATACATGCTAATTTAGCCATATGTTATGACGATGAGATACACTCATGATTGTATGATTATGTATCGTGATGATGAGTTACACATGTGTGAGAGTGTAGTCAGATGTGTGATGGAATCCTTATTGTGTGCAGCACGTAGGTTGTTTTATGATGAATATCACAAGGTTAGGTTAGGGCTCACTTGACACATTGTCAACTGCTTGACACTGGCATAATAGCTATGACATGGCTATGACACGCCAGCTTCTTGCAGGAATGGGGTTCGAGACCCGATGGTCTAAGTGGTTGGGCGGTGTTCCTTCGCTCCGTCCTTATATCTCAGCTCATATTTATCCTCATATCGGCCCCCGCTCCTGTGCTAGGTAAGTTACGGGCTCACCATAGCCCGTGCTACTTGGAACTTGTTCCGAGTAGCTGAATCTATAACAACAACATATCCTCATATCCCTTCCAGGTATTATTTAGTCATTCTAGCTTAGTGCTTTCTGTTGATAATTGCCTCTTTCTTGAAGACTTGAAGGAGAAGCTATCTACCTAGTCTTATCTTTTTGATAAGGCCATGGAAGTGAATGACATGTCGGGCCTACGTCTTCCGTGGCGTCGTAGACGTAAGAGTGGCCTCAAGGGCTAGTTAAGTGCTAGCTTCTAGTGCTAGTTAAGTTTGGTAACACAGTGAGCTGTGCCACTTCGTTTTCGAGGGAACTTTCCATATCTGTCAGCATTTTGTTATGTGCCAATTGCTATTTACTTTTCACGTATTTCATGTCATCATTTTATTGGTAATGAGATATAGCTTGAAAGCCAGTTTGTTTTTTCATCATAACGTAATTATTGTTTGGGAATCAATATTTGTATCAACATATGTACCCTAGACTATGAAATGGTACAGTGTGAGTGTCAAGAGGTACAAGAAACGTGATGTAAGAAAAATAACCATCTCACAAGATGGTTAGTCACACGGAGCCACGTGATCAGTAGCCTGCACCGCCAAGCTCTTGAGTGTCTTGTGAGGATATCCTTAAGGACACCAGAGTAAATAATATATCAAATGCGAATAGATAGTCAAAACTCCTATTGGATTATTTTTTGTAAAAAATAATCCAATATTATTGGATTATTTTGACTCGACATTGTGTGGCGTGGACAGGGAAGGGAGAGAGAGAGAGAGACAGAGAAGCGTATAGACCATTGCATTTCTCAGTTGGAGAATGACGGGCTTCACCCGTCAATTTCTGTGCAGAGATAAGGTTTTCCCACAATCACGAGTCCAATTATGAAGATAAGATCTTGGTGAGCAACATGCTGTCCAAAAGGCCAAGGAAGAGACCACGAAAATTCCCGATGATCAAATCATTAATATTCGTCTCCTCCTTTCAGTGGATGGGGTCGCTCAACTCCAGGGATGGGGGATGGGGGATGGGTGTGTGTGAAGATGTGTACAGGCTGTTGGGATAGGTGGGTGGAGTGGGGGTATGGTGGGTGGGGTGACAGTTGGTCAGTATATAATGTCTGTCTCTCTCTCTCTTTCTCTCTCTTTCTCTCTCTTTCTCTCTCTCTCTCTCTCTCTCTCTCTCTCTCCTCTCTCTCTCTCTCTCTCTCTCTCTCTCTCGCACAAACAGTCACCACCTTTTCTTCTCATTCTTTGTTTTGTTTACCTCTCTTTCATTTCTTCCCATTCTCTCAGTATCCCTCCTTCTTGCCATGCCTTTTTGATCTGTTTCTTCATTCCTCTCCTTCACCCATCTCTTTCTCTCTATCTCTCTCCCTTTCTCTCTCTCTCTCTCTCTCTCTCTCTCTCTCTCTCTCTCTCTCTCTCTCTCTCTCTCTCTCTCTCTCTCTCTCTCTCTCTCTCTCTATCTCTCTCTCAGTGCCACATGCCAACACTAACAAGCCTGACGACCAGCATGATGCTGAAACTATTTTTAGTGACACATCACCCAAAGAGTTTTTTTTTTTCTTGAGAATAATTATTTCTCTACAGAAGAAAAAGTTGACAGTTCTTCTACAACGTTCATAAAATATACAGATAAAAATTAAGCAAAATATTCCAAATGAAAATGTTCCATTACAAATATGTGAAGAGATAATAAAAAATATTATTGATTTTAGTTAAATAAATGATACTGCATTTGATTTGATTTCGATGTTTTATTATAAATAAATTACTTGCATACATTATTAATTATTAATTGTAATTATTTTTTTGTAAATGAGAAAGTTTCATTAGATTTTTGTATTTCTCTCAAAACTTTTTGTTTACACTTGAGATGGAATTATGTTACTTTTGTTTACTGTCATAACAGTATGCTTTCCGCCTCGATAGTTTGATAGTGCTATTATGTTTGATTGTAATAGTATGTTTGATTGTACTTGTATGTTTGATGGTGCTTGCATACTTGGGTGTATTAATACTATTCTCTGTATAACCTACTATCATATTTTGTACATTTTTTGAGTGCCTGTCTTTAGTCTTGGGTCTTTGCTAACTATCTATATTTATATATTTATATATATAAATATATAGATAAATAGAGATGTATAACTATATTTATCTTTCAGTGGTTTATTTTACCTAAATCCTTTAGAAATGTATATCGAATATTTTGAATATATTCTGCTATGTTTGTGTCTAAACGTATTGCTTATCGAGGTCTCTCTCTAGTACAAGTACAGCAGAATCCTGTGCAGAGTCCTGTGCAGCAGAATCCTGTGCAGGAGAATCCTGTGCAGAGTCCTGTACAGCAGAATCCTGTGCAGGAGAATCCTGTGCAGAGTCCTGTACAGCAGAATCCTGTGCAGAGTCCTGTACAGCAGAATCCTGTGCAGAGTCCTGTACAGCAGAATCCTGTGCAGAGTCCTGTACAGGAGAATCCTGTGCAGGAGAATCCTGTGCAGAGTCCTGTACAGCAGAATCCTGTGCAGAGTCCTGTACAGCAGAATCCTGTGCAGAGTCCTGTACAGCAGAATCCTGTGCAGAGTCCTGTGCAGCAGAATCCTGTGCAGAGTCCTGTGCAGCAGAATCCTGTGCAGGAGAATCCTGTGCAGAGTCCTGTACAGCAGAATCCTGTGCAGGAGAATCCTGTGCAGAGTCCTGTACAGCAGAATCCTGTGCAGGAGAATCCTGTGCAGAGTCCTGTACAGCAGAATCGTGTACAGGAGAATCCTGTGCAGAGTCCTGTACAGCAGAATCCTGTGCAGAATCCTGTACAGCAGAATCGTGACGGTGACAACTTTTAAGTTATCTTCAAACTTATCGATAACCGCAATATGTACCTTATTGTGAATCATAAACACTAGCGGTCCCAATGAAGAACCTTGAGGAACCTCGCCCAACGTCGAACGGGTTTCAATGTTGGATATTTTATGACGTTATGGATATTTTGTGACGTTATGGATATTTTATGACGTTATGGATATTTTATGACGTTATGGATATTTTGACGTTATGGATATTTTGTGACGTTATGGATATTTTGTGACGTTATGGATATTTTACCACCCTGGTTTTTCTCCATCGAGGGCAACTCTCTGTTTCGGGTCCTTGAAATCATTTCTGGTCCAGTTGTGTATTTTCCTCCTCAATAACGTCCCAACCGAAGCACAAGGTTGTAACTGCGTTATTTCGATGCGTTAATATCGTTGTCACATTGTTATTGTTAGGTTGTATGTTTGCTGGGATGGGCTGAAAAGAAAACGGAGATGAGTAAACGTAAGACACGATGGGAAACACAAGAAAATTGAGGGAATCAACATGTCATCTCGAATAATGCATTTGCAATTTGACGTTAAAATTCTTAATGGAGAAAATGCACTGTAAATCATTGTGGCTGTCAAACTTTCACGTTTTCTATGTTTGGGTAACTTCGTTAAATTAGGTTATTTTAGTACACCGTTTTCTGTCCGTTAAGGCAAGTCAAGAGGCTGAGAAAATGACGGGTTGAGAGTAACCAGAGAATATAAACAAAGGTGAAAAAAAATGGCGTTACTTTTTTCTTATCAATCTCTCTCTTGCATAACATTATCGGCGGTTTAAGACCAAGATAAACAGCATGTTATTATAGTATTATCGGGTCTATTGCATCAAACACGTTTGAAACAAGAGTGACTTTGAGAGGCGAGATCCCCGCCCCCTCCAATGAAACTTTGCTAAGAGTTAGTGAGAAAATGTTTCTAGTAACACGAAGGGATTTTGTCATAGATTCATTGTTGTGATTGTGTTCTATAAGAGTCAGTTATTAAACTGTAGTTGTCGAGTTATTTTCCTAATGAATCGTCTACTGTTCCTTTATAGAACTCTCCCATGATCGGTGTTATTAAAAGATTATTATTATTTTGTTATATATATATTATTATATATATTATATATTATAGGAATGTTATTATCAGGCTGTTGTTGTTAAAAAAAAACATGAATTCTATCATGAGTTGCAGTTCAATCTTCCTTATTAAACGATTAATTGGGACTAGGTTAGCGACCCTCCTAGCAACTTAGACAAGCACGGTTCTTTCTGATATGTAAAATATTCTTGATATGTGACCACTAACTTTCTTGTATCCTTTGTATCTTTTCTTGTATCTTTTAAAAATTGTTAAGAATATTTTATAGTGCTCTCTTCTTTAAGCACCATGACATTTCCCCCCCCCCTCTCTTCAAGAACCAAAGATATTCTCCCATTCAAGAATATATCTGTCATTTGTCAATATATATGTCATTTGCCTTTAAATAACATGGCACTTTAGCTTCAAACACCATACCAGCAGTACACTCCCACGTCAAGGTCCCCATGGCACTGGCCCTTCCAAAACTATGGCATTCCTTCATACACAATGGCACTCCACGCCGTTTAAGCACGATGGCAACCCGTTCCATTCCCTGCCATGGCTGTTCTCTCCAAAGCTCATGCAAGACCATACAATGGCATCTCCTTAATCACCTCGAATCGTACAACTGCCTCTACCCCCCCCCCCTTCCCAGTCCTTCCCTTACCCCCCCCCCCCCCCCGAACTAGTGGCACTGGCATCAACCCCCCCCCCCCCCGCCAATCCACGTGTTCTCTGTTTAGATATTCACACAGTATCTCTCCTGTTAAATAACTATCTGCGTAATCTATCCACAGAGTTATTGTCGGTTCTTGAGGACGATTTGTGAATATGGGCGTTCCAATCTCCGGGATTAAGGGAGTAGGGACTGTGGCACACACACACACACACACACACACACACACACACACACACACACACACACACACACACACACACACACACACACACACAGGGCACCACGTTTAGATTTTCCCGTAAATTGAGTCCGTGTCATTTGTCATAAAAAGAGACTGATACCCTTTTCGTTGCACATGTCAACGCTCACGGACCCCGAGACTTTCGTTCGCGGGGGGGCCTAAGAGATTACCGCCCGTCACACACACCGCACGACAAAACTATGCAGCGTGCAGACCAAAACGACACACGGAAATTTTCGGAAGCGGGGCTGCGCCATTCTGAAATTCAAAACTTACCCGCATTAGAATGTGTGGGCTGTGAAGACTTGCTAGAGGGGGGTGGGGGTGGGGGTGGAGGGGGGGGGAGGGGTTGATTCGCCTCGGCTTGCCGAATTCCAGGGTGGGGGAGGGTTAGATACAGAGGGGGGGGGGAAATAAACCAGTGGGGGGGTTAAAAACAAAGGGGGTGTAGGAGGAAGGAAAGGGGGGGGGGAAGTGAGTGGAAAGTGTTGGAACATGTAAGGGGCAGACAGATGAGTGAGAGAAAGGCGTGAAAGAAAACGTAGATGAGTTAGGAAACACACTCGAACGGAAAACGGAGATAAGTGAGAGAAAGATCCAAAAAGAAAACGGAGTTAAGCGATAGAAAGAATCTAACCCCCCCAAAAAAGAAAACGGAATCGGGTGAGAAAAGTAGACAAGAAGAGACCATTGAAGGAGACACTCGCACAAACACGACTTTATAGACAGACCAGAAGACAGAAAATGACGGGACGAGAGAACAGTAAACACACAATATAAACAGACAAGAGTAAAAAAAAAAAGAATAGTAAGATATTTGACAGTTACATCAAGTAACATCGTCCCATTTACATTAAACTTGCTCATATATACTTTCCCAAGTATACCAGGGGTATACTTATACATCAGACGATCTCTTTAACCTCTCACATCCTGTATTTTCTAGTATACAAGGGTATATACTCGCTCGTATATATATATATATATATATATATATATATATATATATATATATATATATATATATATATATATATATATATATATATATATATATATATATATATATTAGATCATCCTGTTAGACCCAAAATACACGGGTGTATATATATATGAATGCACAAAGCGATCCCATCCTCCAATACCCAGAATACCATGGTAAACTCACACGTCATTCCCTCCCATCCTGGAATACCCAGTAAAGTGAGTTTACCATGGAATACCATGGTAAACTCACGCACCAAACGACCCCCCATCCTCATCTCATCCCATGTAATTATATAATTGAGAGAACCCGTAAACCTAACTCTCCTCCAAACCCATTAACCAAAAAAAAAAACTCCAGAGAGACAGATACAAAAAAAACACAACGCAGATGAGAAGAAAAAAAAATTATAATCTATCTTGAAACCCGTCCAAGAGCGAGAGCAAAAGTCGTCCACATATCGGCATCAGGGAACGAGCGAACCGGGGGACTTGGTATGAATATACATTTCTTCAGTTTTTCACTTCTATAATAATGGGTTGCAGTTTATTCACGGGGAGCGAGGGACTGTGAGCCGAGCCGTAGGGGTGCCTAAGGGTCGAATGTCTCTGCCGCTTCCTAAATCGCATGCCATTTGTACTTGTTTATGCTGATTTAGAAAGAAATGTGAAATGGGGTGGTTGGGGGGAGGAGGAGAGTGGTGTCGCCTTGGAACGACTCTCTGTATATTGACACTAGAAGCACACACACACCACCCGCCTCTACTATCACACTTAATGTTAACATCAACGCCACCTCGGGCATCAATGTCACCACCTCCGTCAACTGCTCCAACGTCATCATAATTAGTCCGTCATCAACACGTCGTCTGGTTTAGTGTTGATGACGCGATTAACTTCTTAAAATCTATTGTCAGTATTTAGACCATTAACGCCCTCGGTATTACAGGGTTTTATCATCAATAAGAACCCCAACAATGACATTCTCTTAACGACAATAACAACTACAACATTAGCTACAACAACAAAGGCATGACCAATAACATTTGTGGCAATAATTGCAATTCATTTAACAACGAAGACGATTATGTGCAAGTTGAGAATAGCAGAGAGAGAGAGAGAGAGAGAGACAGAGACAGAGAGACAGAGAGAGACATACACACATATACACACACACACATACACACATATACACACACACACATACACACATATACACACACACACATACACACATATACACACACACACATACACACATATACACACACACACATACACACATATACACACACACACATACACACATACACACACACACACATACACACATATACACACACACACACACATATACACACACACACACATATACACACACACACATACACACATATACACACACACACATACACACATATACACACACACACACACACACATATACACACACACACATATACACACACACACATATACACACACACACAGAGGGACAGAGACGGTCGCTTGTACTCTTAAAATCGTCTGCCATAACACCATCAAGAAAATTGACCATGTTTAAACAGTTTTCTCTAACAACCCTGACACAACTCCTCGCTCTGAGCAGCACGATCCACTCTAATCCAGCGAACACATGCATCACCCCCCCCCCCCCTAGTTCGATACCATGCCGCGAGTGGGTGTGTGTTTTTCGAACAATATAATCTTTTAATTGCATTGTTTAACCTGGGAATTGTAAACATCGGATACTATACGTTCCACAGCTGCTTATTTGGCAACATTGAGGCCGAGCGGGAGTGGCTGCGGGGATCAGATAAACACCCCATTAGCCAATCAGAGAGCCGCAATTGCATGATAGGATACTGGTTGGACTTTATTAGTGGTTGATTTAGGGCCCTCCTGGCTGTAATGAAGTTTCCAAGCGTGGTATTAGGAGAATCTATTCTTGCTGTATATTTGAATTTTTTTGATAAATTCTTCATATATCTGTATTTAATGTATTATTTACGT